TTTTTCACTGCAAACTCAGCTAATCTTCCTGAAATTCCCTTTCTATAAACATCCATATATCTCCAGCTTTTTTGTGCATAACAATGAATTGTTGTTAAGGATACTGAATTTAATGCTTCTGGTACAACTATTTGTAAATTTGACCACTTATAATCACAATTCTTTCTTTGCAGCTCTCCAAAACATTAGATATAAGTATTACGATAAAGAAAGAAATTTTCTGTATTTAGAATGAGTTTTTTACACCACTGGTATTTTTAATCCATTAAATCTTTCCATACATTGACACTAAAATATATAAATAGATGCTTAATTTGAAAGTCCGAGCTTTTAAGTCAAATTCACTTTATATAATTGGCTTTTTACATCACATCATGTAAAAAAAAAAGTTTATTCTTTACAAATAGTGTGGTATATTTCCTAAATAGTAAAGATGAATAACTTCTAATTGGCTAATAATTTATTCACGTGATTTAAAAATAATAGCGAGTGTTTCATGAATATGTGTTCCAGTGCTCACTGGAACAGAAACTTAACAACTATGGTCACAACATTTTACATACAATCAATTACTTTGGCAAAATAGTGACTCAATTTTTAATTAATTTGTCAAAACTTTTTTTAATTTTTTTTTCTCAAAAAAAAAAAAAATAGTATAGAGCTCTTCCTTTTTTTTTAAAGTCTTTAATTACTCTTTTATGGAAATATTATCCAAATTCAAATTTTTTAGTTTTTCTTGTGCTACATGGATTTTACTTGTTGCTTCTTCAATAAGTTCCATCCTAATAAAGTACATGATTAATTGATTGATTGATATTGATTACCACAAAAAAAAAATATCAAGATTTATTCTTACTCTTTGTCTAAAGCAGTCTCAACTTTGTGTAATTGACTTCCGGTGAGTAAATGAATTTGATTAGAATTAGAATGATTTGATTTTGACTTTGGCTGATTGTATTTAGACAGTTTTGAGTGCCGTGATTGTATCTTTAAATATATAAAAGGTTTTTGTATTTAAAAACAATTATGATTAAATATATTATATTATATATCTATATATATATATTATATAAAACAAATTTACCTGTTTTACTTTAGCTTTTAAACCATTTTCATCATTTAAATCTTCTTGAACTCGATTTAACATATCAAAATACTCATTTTCAAATTCTCCGAGAATTGGATTCGATTGAATTATTCTTTTTTGAAGAATTTGATTGGCTTTACTTTCTAGAAAAGAATGTTTTTGTTTGATTTTATTTACACGATCATCCAATTCTGAATTAACATGTTTATTCTCTTCCATGGTATTTTTAAGATCCTGTAAAAGATCTGCTTGATGTTTTATCATTTGAAATTGTAATTTTATTCTTAAAATAAAAATAACTCAAGCCAGTTAGTTATATTACATGTGTATAAGGAAATATATAAATCAATATAAATACCTATTAATTAATATGTGAGCAGAAGATTTAATTGGTATTATTTCATTAACAATTGTTAACGAAATTCCTCTTATCAATTCACTATTAACCCTATCAAATTCTTTGGATGATTGTTTATTGCCAATTTGTGACAAAAGAATTGGTTGACGAGTTAATCCTTGAGAAGTTAGAACTTCTTGTAGTTTGATTGGAAACTCTAGTTTATCTGTTTCGGGAAATCCCATACTTTTCAAACGAGTAACATCATCAATTGACAATTTAATTGGTGTGGTTCTACTCTCTAAAGGAAATCCTTTTAGTTGCAGCGTGGAAGTTAATATCAGAACCAAATATCCTAGATGAGCATTATCAACTATCATTAAACCTATTAAAGGATCTGGATTACTATTTAACATAATTTATAGGTTAAAAATAATTAAATAATATTTTTTTATATATATAAATAAATATATATAAAGTTACCTAGGAATCACACAAGCAATCCAACTAACTTCTGATTTTTTTTGATTTTTAAAAAATTGTCCCATCGCTGAACTATTACTATTACTATTATCATCATCCTTACTACTACTATTACTACCACTACTATTATTATTTTTATTATCATCATTAATAGTATCTGTGATAATTTCTTCCAAATCCTTTAACCAATTACCAAGTCGAATTGCATGAACACCTGCAAAATTACACACATAAAACATGTCTTTGTATTGAGGGTCTTCTAATAGAACTGGATGATTTAATGAAGTTGTAATTTTACTTGAGAAGGGACTATTTGAAGTTGGTGTAACAAAACTTTTAATAAATCCTAAATCAATACTTTCATATAATAAAAGAACTGGAGAGTCAATGAGTTCGTTTAATCCCTAATAAAATAAATAAATAAATCATTTATATTAGTATATAATAATTATATAATAAAATTATTAATATTACAAAAATTATTTATTATATATTTATTTCCAACAAGCAATAAAATGACAATGTACCTGAATTTTCCAAAATGCTTCAATTTTATCAACTTCAAGAAAGATATCTAATCTACCATTACTAGAAGCTATAACAATTACACTAGTGGGTTGAGTATTTAAATAGATTATGTCACTTGCATCAAAAGGATGATGTGATAGTTCCAAAGGATTTGGTCTCATTGAAAATGGTCCTTGCAACAATAAATCATTTTGAATATTTGCAGGAGAAGAAAATTCTACCTTGTATGATGATGATGGTGGTGATGGTGATGGAAGTTTACTAATTTGTTGAGACACATCACAAATCCATCTGTATTGCAAATGATATTGATTATACAAATAATCATACATATGAAGATTTGAATTAGATGGTAACCGTTTTTCAGCCTCTTGATATTTTTTAAAAATTATGCAACTTAGTTGCTCGATAAATATTCTACTAATAAAGCTTTAATTCATTAAATTATTAAATTGTTAATAATTAGATTTAATATAATAATATTTTGTAAAAGAAAAAAATAAATTTTTTTACCAATTTTTTGGTACTATTGGACACATTGCATAAACATCTCCATTATCAAATAAAACATATACAGTAAAATTAGACCAGCCTTTATCACCTTGACCAAAACAAAAAGAAACTGCTTTTGGTATTTCAGCACCAAAAGAAAAAGTTTTTTCTGGATTTTCACTGAAACAAAATTTCTGTTCTGGCTCATTACAATCATTAGATATATTGTACATCCTATCATTTCACAGATAAATAAGTATAAGTAAAAATTTTGTTTTGTTTATAATAAGAATTATATAAATAAATCTAATATATTGCCTTAATATTGCATCTTCAGTCAAAACCAATAAATGAGGTATTCTAGTTAGTGGATGCCATAATATCTTTGAAATAGGACTTGATCCTTCCATATGATGAAAAGATCCAATTGGATATGTTCTATTTATTTTGATAATTATTTATAAATATTAAATTAATCTTTTCATTTATATCAATAAATAATATGTAAAAATTCTTACACACAATCAACTTTTTTTTCTGATGCCGATAAATTAAATTTAACTAATGGTAAGCGAACTACCGCCAATTCGTAATCACCAGCAACCGAAATCACATTCCCTTTTTCTTTAAAATTTACTATTAAAGATCTAATTTTAAATTTAATTTTTGGTGTATTAAGTACTATATATTTAACATTCAACATCCATTTTGGTACATGATGATGACTATCATTATCATCATCATTGTCATGATTACTGTCATCGCTTTCAGACATTTCATGCAGTTCATCATTTTCATTTGCATATTGCCAAGCATCTTTAAACTCCAATAAATTTAATATTCTTATTTCAGATCCTACAGCTAATATAAGATTATTTCCCTCAATAGCTATACATGATTGTTTTCTTTTTGGTTTTCCATAATTCTCCAATCCTATTGCTTTTTATGTTTGATTAGAGAGATGATTTTTTTTTTAAATTTTTATATGTAGCTATTTTTGTTTAGAGACAAGCTTATTTATTGATTGTACTTACTATCTCCTGATAATTTTACACTGTCAGAATAAAAAACCGGATGATCACTAACATATTCTAACCAACTTGAATTATCCATAATTTTAATTAATTAATTAATCAATTAAATTGTTTAATTTATTAATTTATTAATTGAAGAAAAAACAAAATGTTCTTTTGATTTCAAAAAAATTTTGTGATTTTTAGACAGTGCGTGATTATTAATATTGTAAATTTTGTCACATGACAATTTTGGTAATCATGTAAAGTTACACAGAGAAACCCAAAAAATTGAATACTATCTTTTTACTGCAAGGCTACGAATACACTTGTAAAAAGTTTTTGAAACATTTAGATATTATTAAGGCGAATATCTGTTTTCTTGTTAACAAGTTATGAAGATTAGAAGCCAGGAATAAGCTTTATTAAAATCGCAGTAACATTATTTACAATGGGTTTTAAATGAAAATCGGCTTATTTGGGTGGGATGTCCTCCGCAACAGAATGAAGGAACTTTTAGTTGTTTCACCGATGAACTTCTAGTTCGTTGTGGCTGCTGGCTTTCGTTAGTAGGTGAATGCTTTTAGTCATCCACAACAAGGAAATGTTACTAATTCGTTCTGGCTTGTTGTATAATAAGCCAAGATTTTGCGGTGCAAAATGGCAAATTTGCAATTTAGCCCATAAACGCAATTAAATTTCTAAATCTATAATGGTCGACGTGGCTCGATATTGATATCAAATATTTACAAGAAAAACTATGTATAATGAGACTTCAGGTGATCCTTTGAGTTAATATCAAATTATTCATATTCTTCGTCTTTTTATGAAGGGGTGTTTCTCAAACCATTAAATAAAACTAACGATATGTTAGTTCCTTGAATGATATTGCCAATATTTGGAACATGTTTTATTTGTTGTATCCTCGGATTAATTAGCCTGAACCTGTGGAAGGACGTAAACGAGCTCATGAAAATGATGATGAATTATTAGAAACATGTAATAAATTTAAATTCATACGGCCGGCTTTAATTTATCTTTATTTATGGTAATACATTTAAAATTCTTTGTATTTTGCTCACATTCGCCCATATTAATAATAATAATGACATAGAAATTTTGCATGCATACTCTACAGGACCTATGCTACAAACTATGTATACTTATTATGTGTGCTTTTGCGTAATTGGTTCTCCGAAATTTTGCTTGTAATGTACCATTTGATCTAATAAAATCTATTTGAATCTACTAAAACAAATAAAGGATAAATTTATTATTTATCAAAAAAAGAAATAAAGAAACTTTAAAGGATATAAATATGATTGATTTTGGACTGATCAAAAAAAATTTACAACATGATATTATTTTGAATAAATTCTTTAAAAATAATGCTGTTTAAATTGACTATATGCTACTTGTGTGATCGATTCAATCATTAACATCAAAGGGACAAAATTAATTATTTCGCAATAAAAACTATTTGTTTGTTTATTTTATTTGAATTTATTTGTTTTGTTCGTTTGTTCGTTTTGTTCGAATTATTCGTTTTATGCGTTTTGTTCGTTTTATTCGTTTTATTCAAATTATTTGTTTTATTCCAATAAACGTTATTCGAATAGAAACCCTAACTACTACTAAGATTACGATGTTATTTTAGTACAGAGAGCTTTAGAAATATTTAACCAATAACTTAATTACAATACAAAGAGCTATTGGTTTATTAAATTAAGCCAATAATTTAAGAATATTTGATAAATATTGGCACTTTCAACATTTACTAATAGGCTTTTAGGCTATATGATAAAAATACTAAGAATATTATTACCTTATCAGCATGCCAATACCTTAATTATTTTTTTAAGAAATATCAGATTCTGATATTTCCTGATAATATTATTAACGATTACGCATAGCAAAATATCGTTATCATCTTGACAAGGATTTTATAATTACCAACAGGATCTGCTCCGCGTTTTGATTCCAATTAATTTTTCCAAAAAAAAAAAAAAGAATTCGCGACATCTTTGTACAACACCAAGTGCCAAATAATTATTTTATATATATACATTTTTTTTTTACGTGTTGGGAGTTTTTTTTTATAAAAAAAGAAATAGAAATAAAGGAAATCAACGGGTGGCAGTTTCTGGATAAGTGTTTATCATAAGAATGGTGGTGGTGGTTATCGCCACTCGTCATCATTCTAGTTTTAATATTCAAGATAAATTAGTTGGAAATAAATAAATAAATTTTTTTTCATTTAGAACTTCATCTCACCAAAAAATAAGTTTGTCCCCGGAACTTATGACTGAAATATCTAAATATATTGAAAATGTTTATAGAACAATATATTCATGTACACTTGTCAACAAACAATGGCACAGTATCAATATTCCTATTTTATGGAGAAATCCATTTTATTCGTATAAAAGCATCAAAATATTAATCAATTGCTTATTGAAAGAAGATAAGGATTACTTAACAGGAATTAAATTAATTTTTAAACTATTGGAAAAACCACCATTATACAATTATGCAGATTTTGTACTAGAATTTCTATCAGTTATGGTCTTAGAAAAATTCCTTTACAAAATAAATCAATAAAATTTATTTTAGATCATTCAGTAGGTATTAGAAGACTTTAGTGTTAGTAATTTATATTGTAATTTTTTAATTAATCATCATAGATTTGATGATTGTTTTCAGAGCCTTTATGGAATAGATTGGGATAGTTCTTATAATGGTGAATTTTTTGATAAATTAACAAATACCTGTAAAAATAAAGAATATGTTATGCTGCTAAAGATGATAAAGATTTATATGAATTAAATATTTCGATATTGGATCAGAAAGAAACCCAATTTTACTAGGTGAACTAAAAAAAGTAATATTAACACACTCACAATCAATAATTTTTTATGGAACTTGTTGCAAAGGAAATAATTTAGATGATTTATTATTATCAACTTTTAAAAATTAAAAACTTTAGAGTTAAGATCTTATTCTAGCAAAGTAAAAAGTTGGAAAAAATATTTCATTTCCAAATATTGAGGCTGTGAAGTTATATTTTTACAATCAACAATTTCTTGAATTGTCTGATTTTATTAATACAAATGGAAAAATCTTAAAACCTGGATGTTAATAATTTACAATATGATCATAAATATGCATGTTAGTCGAAATTGCCTCTCTTAATAATCACCGAATCCGAAATGCCAAAATAGTTTTCCCCAAATACTAATACTAAAAACAAACAAGTAATAATCGCCCAATTGTTTTTATTTATTTGGTCATGTGCCACATAATGTACCTGGTAGATTAAAAGATTTATCAATCAATCTTTTACAGAGATATCTTTGTAAAATCTTCAAAGGAATAAAAACAAAACTTATATATTTAATTACTCGTGATAAATAACAATGCCTTATCAAGCCTTTTCCGAGACAGGTGATACTGTTGTTAACATGGAGGATGAGGAAGGAGTTAACGAGAATAGCCCTTTGTATCCCTTTGGTGTTCCTGTTATTTTATTGAATGTTAAATCTCAAATGGGTAACTAATAATTATTTTTTACATATAATATAATAATATTATTATTATCATTGTAATATATTTTTAAATGGATGGTTTATATGTTTTTCATAGCATTTGTTCGTAAAGTTTGTATGATCTTTGCATTGCAACTTATAGTCACTATAGCATTTACAGGTTTATTGTTATATCAGTATCATTGGAGACATTTTATTCAAAGATTGTAAGATTATTATTATTATTACAATTTATTTATTTATTTATTTATTTGTTGATTGATCAATATATAACAATGATTATACATTATTCTTTAGTGATTGGTATTATCCGATACTCCCAGTTTTATCACTTATTTTGTTGGTTGGAATTACATGGAAATCAAATGATAGTTTTCAACCGCCTTGGTATTTAGTTGTTTTATACACTCTACTTAATGCTGTTATTATTGCTGCTCCTAGTAAGTATTTAAGAATAGATTAGCGATTATTAATTAGTTAAAGATTGATTGGTTGATTAATTGATTATAAATATCCAATTCTTATTTAATTTAGCATCACTGTTGAGATTATTCTGTGTGCTTGACGCTTTAATCATATTATTGGTAGTTGCAATATTTATTATTATTGGATATACAAATCAATACACTTATAGATTTAAAAGTAAAGCAACAATGTAAGTTATATATAATATTTGTATTATATTTGTGTGTGTGTATAAATAATAATAATAATTTTTATTATTATTATCATCCATCATCTTAATTATAATTATAGCATAATGGTACTAATAGTGATTGCAATAACCACTTTGGTTTTACATCCATGGTTTTTTACATTTTGGGATGCTATACCAGCAGTTATTTTCTCAACTTTATTATCACTCTTTGTTATATTGGATAATTGGTATATGTTGAAAACAATGAGTAAGGGTGATTATATGGCTGCCAGCATGCAAACCTACTTGGATTTAATAGTACCATTTAGAAGTATACATCATCTTTGTGAATTAACGGCTGAATTTGATGATGATACTGATGATGAAAATGATTATGTTGATAATGTTGTTGGTGTTAATCGTAATCATAGGGCATGAAATATTTAACTTATTAATTTATGTTATTATTATCACTATATACATACATACATACATATATATATTGTATTATTATATTATTCAATTTTTTGAAAAATTTGTCAATGAATGACTTTAATTGAAAATTGCAATAAATTGTGACATTACATAGGGTTTTTTATTCCAAGAATTCGATCACAAAAAAATTATTATTTTGGAAAGATCCTTGACTTAGTATTTAGAGCTAATCCTTAAATGAAAATATAGATATATAAATCATTTATATCAGATCCATCACCATGGAACCCAAGAATAGTACAATCAAAAGCATTTTGAAGAATAAGATGAAAAAATTGTTTTTATTTTATTTTCATATGAGCCTTTTAGAAAAAGTCGATGCCCTGAACACAGTGTATTTTTAGTAAAATCTTGTCCTGGAAGCATGTTGAGAAGCTCTAACTACATCTGGGTTAATGATAATTGTAAATTCATGGTAAATTGCTATTAGACATGTAAATATGCAGTAAAGAGGTATCACCAAGTATACCACTACACAGTGGGTCTCGATTTAACAGACCTCGATTTAGCGGATTTAGGGGTTTAACGGATAAATTTTCAAAACCAAATTTTTCTATAATTATTTTATCTCGA